CTGGGTTAGTGTTTTTGTTGTGTGGTGTGTGGTTGCTGGTGAGTATTACTTCAGATTTGGGGCCTGTGAAACCTAGTGGCTATGTGTCTCCATCCACACATACGGTGCCATGTCTACATAGTAGAAGTTAACATCCTACTCCTGCAACCAGTTACTCATTTCCTCAATGAGGCATTCAGCAATTACTGCCTCATTCAGTGAGAAACTGAACAGTGTTCTGGGAATGAATTGGGGTTGTGTAATGAATGAAGCTATTCTCTGCAAGACCCCTATCTCATGTGTGGTAAAAGTTGGAAGTGTGATATATGAGGGAGTGGGCTGCAGCAAGAGAAAGGATAGCCTTGTGGTAGCCTCCTATGTGATGCTAAGCATGTCATATAAACCAACATTTTCACAGGTGGCCTTTATGTATTCCTCATATTTTGGGTACCTCAGCTTGAGAAACCTGGCATCTGGCTTGCAAAAGTGCTAGGTACTCACAGCTGCAACTGAAGACAATGGGAGTTCTGCTCTGAATGTATAAAATGGTAAGTACTCTGAAAACAAAACAAAAAAATCAGACCCAGGCATCTCAAGTGGCATACCCACACTTGACACTTTTAGCTGTAGTCTGTGCCTCAGTTCCCCATATGTAAAATGGGGATAATACCACTGCCTCACCTCATCAGTGATGTGAAGATAATTCATTGTGTGTAAAGAACTAAAATATGATGATGGGAGCACAGTAGAAAACGCCCATGAGGAAATTAATAATTTTGTCTTCACTCCAAGGTTTGGCTGGCATGCAATAAAAAAAATATGCCTGGGGCCCAAACACTGAATGATGAGGATAAAAAGCAGTATTGAATAGATACCCATTTAATGAACACCATTCATCCTATGCACTGAATGAAGCAAGGATCCTGGGGGAAAGAGCATGTGATCATGTAGGTAAAGCACAAAGGGACTAAAAGAATTAAGATTGCTTTGCAACCTTAATTCTAGCACTTCCTACCTTTTGAGTGTTTAAGATCACAGCCTTAATGTTATTTAATGTAGAGGATTTTTATGTTTTACATATATATAAAATTTATGTTTATTTAACTGCACCTGTACCATTTACTAATGTAGTGGTAAAATGTTAAGTTTTGTGATATCTACAACATTTTGGGAGAAGAAAAACTAATACAAAAAATGTGTATTATTACATTATACCTGATCATTCTAGATTTTCTGTTTTACGTTGTTTTCATCACCAACACTACATAAGAGAAACTGGCATAGTATACCATGTTTGCCTTAGAAGGATGCATGAAAGTACATACCTAGGCCACATCAATGCTCTTTGTCCCTGAAATTTACCATTCTTGCTACCACTCTTGCCCTGCTCTGTTTTCAGCTTGCCACTATGTTCTGTTGTTCCATTAAATGCAGTAGCAAGCACTTTAAAATAAATTGATCCAGATTAGGATTTCAATTAGACCATGTATTATCTTGAATAACTCCATGGAAGTCTATGAACTAGTCAGCTCCATTGATGTCAATGAGTTTACTCAGGCTTTATGCTGGCCTAGATGAGGTCAGAATTTGGCCTCTTGATCACAAGATACTACATAAAATTATATTCTCTTGCTTAATGGTTACCAGCCCATGTGTATAATTAGTAGAGTATTTATTTGAAATTAAATTAATCTGTTTGTGTACATTAGGGTATTCCCAATTATCTGAAGTTGAGCTGCTAGCACAGGCCAGAATTGTAGTTATCTTTGTTGGTAATAAGTAGTAGTGGCCTTCCTGAATTGCAAGGAAAAAGATCAGTTATTCAGTCTGAGATTCCAGCTCACCAGGAGGTAACAGTTTATTACATAAAGACTCATCTAGTCTGTAGGTACTTATTACATTTGGATTTTTGTTTGCTTGATGAAATATTTCATCAGACACCCCAATCAAAATCCAAGATCCTTTCTCGATGTTCCATTTGGCTTTGTGTTTTACAGAGGTGGTTTTGATGCATCTATTTTTTTCCTTCTGGTGGAGATGTATCTAAACAGGAATGTTGAAGCTGAGGGGAAGTTCACATTTAAAGTTATTTGCTAAGCTGAGATGCACTTCTAGTAATAATCACCTTACCTTGAAATCTTGTTTGTTACTTTTCCTTCAGCAGCAATGGCTTCTGAGGCCCTGAGCAACTGCCATAAAAATAGAATAACCTAAACCCAACTGAAGGATCAGCATGAACTAGGTATTATACTATGTCTGAAGAGGACCCAAATACAACAAAGAGAAAATATTAGGCCAAAGGATATTAGTTTGCTCTTCTAGATTGGTAAGAAGTACTGTTTACAGAAGTCAGTAGTGTGTCCCAAATAAGTGTACAGTAGGTCTTATTTCAGCACTAAGAGTCCAAACTTGGCAAATAAAAGCCTTGTTTCGTTCCAGAGATCCTTTGCCCAAGTTAATGATGGCAGGAATGGCTCAAAGGCCAAGTAATTACATTTTTCCCCACTCCATGATTTCTCTGCTTAGAGCAGGATATAGAGGTTTCCATAGTCTAAAAAGGAATGCTACTTATACAGAAAAACAAATGCATAAGAAATCTCAGTGATTTATTTTCTAAAAGTACAAAATAAGAATCTTTTAAGGAGGCATTTTTAAAAAGTTTAACTATAAAAACATTGTGGGCAAGAGGCACCACTTTTATCATTACTCTTACAAAACAGACAGACATTGACATATAAAACAGATGAACCAGTTGCAGGTCAGCCAGCCATAGAAGACCCTTACCTGTATGTTATAACAATCATGTTTTAGTTCAAACAGATAAGTACTTTTCGACCCAGGTTGGCTGTCCCATAGCTCCAGTGAAGATTCCAATAAATTACATAAATAGGAGCAAAGCACACACCCTTCTGTACAAGGCTCCCATCACCAGGGAGTCCGCCACACACTCCCAGCTACTTCACACAGCGAGAGCGCTGGGAGTGACCGTGTCTCTCAGGCGTCTGGGTAAGTGCAGTAATACACAGCAGTACTTGCATCCGAAACCACGGAGGAGATGGGCCCGTGGGCGTCTGGCGCGGGCAGGCCGGCTTCGTGGCCCGGGAAGTGGAGCCCTAGCTCCGGCTTGCAGGCGAAGTGCAGGTACTGCTCGAATTCGGTGCGATCCACGTCGCCCAGCAGCTCGTCCTGCGACAGGTGCTCCAGCGGCTCCCTGCACTGCTGCGCCTCGGGCGGCGGCGAGGGCTGGCAGGGCTGCGGCGGGAGCTGGAGAGCTCGGGCCGGGCCGGCGGGCGGGCACAGCTGCCCGTAGTAGGCGTGCAGGGGGCCCTGGCAGCCCAGCAGGCTCTGCAGGGAGCTGAGCTGCCCCAGCGGCTCGGCGCGGGGCAGGTGCCTGCGGAGCGCGGCGCTGA